AACTATGTTGAGCTTGAATCCCACAAAAACAAGAAAAAAAAAGATCAAATAAAATATCTTCCATCAGAAAAAATTCCATTAACCATTAAAAGAAAAACACTGATGATAATACCAGAACTTCAACAAGAGATGATAATCAGTACACATTAAAACATTCATAGAATGAGCAAATCCACATCATCTAAATATAACATTAACTTTGTTCTGGTAAAATTTCTGGTCAGCTTTTTGTGACAGCAAGGCCACCCTAAAAGCAAATAAATAGCTAACTCTAAGCAAGTTAATCATTCTCTCAAAATCACAAGAGATCATATTTTTCCATTTTGCAAGGATAAAAGGTTTTGAATTTGGGGACAAGGAACAAAAAGTTTAACTTTGTAATTAACCAAATTATGTGACAAAATAATTAGTAATTAATGATTTGTAAAAGTGTTTTTTTTCTTTAAAATTTTGTTTCTCTTCCATCAAATAAAAAAAAAAACAGTTTGTTAATGTTAATAATGCTTTTTTTTCTTATGAAAAGGCATTTTTTAATAGAAAACATTATTCTTACAGTTGTTAAAAATCCCAAACAAGTCAATGATTCAAGACTTAACTGAACCAAAGTATTATTTTAGTATATAAATCTTTTTTTTTCCTTTGCAATTCTGATTTTTATCTAGAAGAAAAAACAAAACACAAAATTTAAATGTATTAAAATGCAGTTTTGTTTAATGACTGCAAACTTATCTGAAGCAATATACTTTCTCTTCAGAGTTTGGAAGGGGTTCAAAATATCACTGAAGACACCATCATAACAGTGTAAGAAAAACAGAAGATAACTGATGAATCAAGAGATTTTTAATCCCAGTGTCACCTGGGGATCAATGAAAAGCAAATTCTAAGTCGTTAACTATTACATGACAAAGTTTTAAAATAAATGAATGAATAAAACAAAATAAAATTTTTTTTTTAAATAGTTAAACATCACTGAATGAATGTTGGTCAGATCCAAAGATTCCAGTGAGGGAAAGAGAGTGGTGGAAAACAAAAAAAGAGAGAGAGAGAGAGAGAGAGAGGAGCAGGGCAGAACAGAGAGAGTGCAAAAGTGGTAGGGTTACAGACAGAGAGAGAGAGAGAGGGAGGAGTGCAAAATCGGCATGGTCAGAGGTGGATAGAGTGCAAAAGGGTCAGGGTTAGAGACAGTGTGAAAGGGGTGAGGTCAGAGATGGATATAGTCTGAAAGGGGTGGGGACAAAGAGAGCAAGAGAGAATTTGAAATGAGCAGGTACAGAGAGTGGGAGAGAAAGTAGCAAAATCAGAGAATGAAAATGACCAAAGGCTTTCTTGAGCACAGAAGTCGTTTCACTGAAAGTAACATCAATTTGTAGCAGACACAGAGCAACAACAAATAAAAGGGTCTTGATCATCCAATAATAGCCAGAGATTTGTCAAAACAACATTCAGACCCCTGCCTCTATACAGACATCAAAATTTATAGTCACCACCAACACATCTCAAGATAGGTTTTGTAACCTGTCATTTCAGAAGCACCTCCATATATTGAGGTCTTCTGTTCATATAAATAGTGAGATTGTATCCATTGTTGGCATGCTAGTCACCCACTGAGTATTAGCTAGGCTCAATGTTGCTTAACTTCAGTGATGGGACTCAGTATTTCAAGATATGGCTGTAAGCCAAATTTCTAGAAAAATCTGGAAATTCTAATCCAAACTTAAAATAAGAATAAGTAAATAAATAACTCTCTACACTGTGTGTGTGTGTGTATACACATGTGTGCATGTGTAATTACATTTGAAAATTGTTATCTGATTTAAAAAGAATGACACACGGGATTGAAATTGAAAACCAAGGCTGACAATTGAACAATTGGCACTAAGGATGGCTAGAAGGATAAAAAAAACAAAAAAAACAATGCAGTCTTTCCTTTAATCCTCCTTATAACAATCAAAACCAATAACCAGTGCTTTTGAAGAAAAAGATTGATCTCATTTCACATCTAAAGTTATTTTCAAACCTTAATTTTCATTATTTCATATTATTTGGATAAGTAACTTCATATTTTTATTTTTATCACACCATTTCACCCAGTGTGTTTTTCAGGCTTCCTCAGGTCTATATTGCACGGCAATGAATAAAAAATGATGATACTAGTTTGAATAATATGCAAAATAAATGAAATCTTTCATATAAGTTTTCATGTCATCATTCTTGTTTTTGCCTATTTGTTACAAGTGGAATATTTTGCCAGCCATTATTAGGAAAATGATTGGCGGTGATATGTGTTGTTAGATGAGAAATCAAGTTCAGATGATGAGGGAAAGGAAAAGTAAAAAAAGTAAAAGAGGAATTTTATAGATTTCTGGTTGGAAAATAGGAAGCAGAATTGAATGATAATCTAGCTTTGTATAATTCCGCTTAAGAAATTTCAGAATCTCCATTTGTATACAATAAGAAATGTGATTAAATCAATCAATACAGTTCAGAACTACACTAAGCCGCAGGTTGACAATGAAATATTGTTTCAAAAGAAAGTGGGGGGGGAGTTGAAAAGATTAAAAAAAGACAAAAAAAACAAGAATTTATTTAATATTTTTTTTTTTTTTTAGATTTTCCTCTGATCTAGATAAACAAAAACGAAATAAAAAGTGAAAATAAAAACATTTGGGATTTTTTTGATATTTAAGAAAGAAAAAAATGTTCTTCATTGGACTTGTTTTTTTTCCTTTGCATAAATAACATCCATTAAAAAGAAAAAGAAATATTTTTTTCTTTTTTTTTTAAACTGTTAAATTTATTTTTCATCTTTAGAAAATCTTGGAAATAAATAAATGTTGCAAATTTAATCAAAACTGACAAAAAAAAATAAAAAAACAACTAATTACATTCTGACAGGTTGAAAGAGAGAGGAAAAAGCAGATATTCAAAGATCTTTTTTCTCCTTTTTTTTTTTTATTTTTTTTAACCCAAGACAGTTGGAGGTGGGGAATGTTTACATGACTATGTTTTAATAAATAAAATTCAAAGTACAAAATAAATACATTTTTTAAAGAAAAATTCTACATTCAACCCACAGCTCTCGAATGGGATCATTAATCAAGGGAAGTAACTCACTCACTCACCCATCCTTATTGCCACACACACAAGTGTACTCACATGCAAATTAAAACAATTCATTTTGGTTTGAAATTGTTTTTGTTGGGAAGATTTCAATCAGCAAAAACAAACTTCATTAAAAAAAAAAAAAAAAAAAGAAAAAACACACACACACACAAATTTCCATAGCTACGCATCAACACCCCCCTGATACTTATTAAAAATTGGTCTAAAAATACTTAACTATTATTTTAAAGCAAAATCCTGTATTTCATACACATAAAAAAAAAGAAAATACAGGTACTAATATATCACCTTAATACATTGAATTTAAATATTTTGTATAAATAAAAGAAAAAAATTTATTATTAAAAAAAGTTATAATAAATCATTCAAAAGGTTCAAGGCAAATATTTTAGGAATAATTTTCTGAAAAAAATGTAGTCATAATAGTAGGCATAGCAACAAGGGAGTGCTGAAAAGCTCACAGCTCAAACCACTTCCCAAAATCTGAGATTCTTCGCTTGGTCTGGTTGAGAACTTTTCAATATCTGTGTGTGTGTGTGTGTTTATTCTGACAAATCTCCCTCTTTCCAACTTCAATGCATTAGAATTATGTTGAAGTATTTTTTTTAAATAATTATTTCAACTTGAAAAATAATACGTGTATATATTTCTCATTACTATAAATGTTATATTTAGTGAATACAAATGTTCAAGTGTCCATCTATTTTTTTGTTGTTTGTTTTTTTTTTTAAATAACTGATCTCTACCAGTCAAGGATTTTTTTCTTTTTTTTTTTGAGAGTTTTTTTAATAAAGAAAAGGGATCAAATCTGTCTCTCCTTATATAGGGGAAAAACTACTGTATAGCCCAACATGCTTTTATACTACTCAGCCATGAAGGACTTGACGCTGAAGCAAGTTTCAATTACCCTTATGACAGAAAGTGCATCTGTTATTAAGTTCTAAGTTTATAGTAATGAGAAATAATGTTGAATTTAAAAACTCCATTAATTCCTTAGTGTGTGTGTATATATATATATATATATATATATAATTTATGCTCTACTTTGTATCAAGCACTTTTTAAAAATAAATGCTAATGAACTGTAATTGTATATTAATCTGACTGTTCTTTCTCTTTATATATATATATATATATATAAATAAAAGGCTCAAACACTAATATTCCATGGTTATAATTTATTACATTGAAATCATAATCACAATCCAATTCATCAGACCTACAACTGATGAATTGGATTGTGATTACAATTCCAATGTAATAAATGATAACCATGGAATATTAGTGTTTGAGCCTTTTATATTATATTCTTGCTCTGTCTTGTACATTGAGCTCTACCTGGATTTTATCCTCTTGGAAATTATATATATAAATAAAATGTGCGGTTTTCTTTTGTCATATAATTTACAAAATATATCTATCCGATGTGTTAATATTTAATCTAAACATATTAAAATGTAAAATTAATATATTTTCATGCAAAATCTTTATAAATCTGATATTAAATCTGCTAAACATTAAATCATTGTTTTTTTGGGGTTTTTTTGGCAAAGTTTGTTGCAGTGTGATACTGATGTGAGTCTGTCCATGTGCCTGGGTACTTTAAAAGAAATCATAACTAACAAAGCAGAGAAGCGATTAATGAAACAAAAATGCATGAGATCTGGCATTCAATTTTTGCAATCCGGTTTCAAGTTCCCTTCATTCTATCTTTGCCCGACTTTTTTTTTTTCTCTTCTTTCTAATTCAGAATTCCTGTTTAAAGTTTAATGTTTTAAGTTTAAAAAAAAAAAAAAGGAAAGATTTTATCTATGTCATTCCAACAGCCATATTTCTTTCTAGCCATCTTCCTCAACAATAAAATAACTTTGATTCTATTATGTCCGCATCTGTTCATTTTCTAATTCATTGTTGGAAGGGTTGATGATTGGATTTGCAGCAGGGTTGGGTGAAGGAGCATTGGTCATGGCTGTCCCGTCTGCTGCTGTCTCCTCTCCAGATGCTGTGCTAGTCAAAGGGTTAATTGTATCTGTCGGCACAAAAGTTGTGAGAGCTTTAATCAAGTCGTGAAGCACATCGGTTTCCTTCTCTTCAAGCAAATCAAACCGAAGATTGAATACCATGAAGTGAGCAAACAGAGTATTCAGATGGCCGTGCAAACCAAGGACGTAAACTTCATTGTAATGAGCATGGTAAATGTGAGCAAGGACGTGAAATAAATATCGGTGGATCCGTTTCACTACTGTTTGGAAAGTGCTAGGAAAAGCATTACCTGAAAGAAAGAAAAAAAAAAGAATTAGATGAAATTCAATCAAAGATGAAAGCTTTTTCAGGATTTTTGCTCAAATTTGAGAAGAGGTGGGTTCATACCTTTCCTAAGGGTATTTGCATATAAGTAAACCAACTGGAATTGGAACTCTGTTCTTCAATTTCCAATTCATTATACCACCTGCACATTCAAGCTTATAGCAGCTGGTATTCCCAAACAGTCACCCATCTAGATAATGAGCAGGCTTGATGTTGCTTAATTTCAGTGATCATATGACAACCAGTGTTTCAATATGATATGGCCATAACCTCAAATGAAAATCTGGAAGTGGTCACGAATTAAAGTGCTACAATATAGACTAGTTTATATTTTATATATATATATATATATATATATATATATATATAAAAAAAAATATACTGAAAAAACAAACAAAAATCCTAATATGCGATTATGCTGTTTTAATGTTTAATGTCAACGTCGGACGTTTCGGTCTAATAGACCATCTTCAGGACATATTCATAAAACATAATTAACATAGACCATATACAATTCAACATGAAAAAGACGAAGGACATAAAAGCAATACCAATCCAAACAGATAACTGAAATCTTTTATAAGATCAGCGTTCCGTTTAAATATGATCACGTCGTCATTTTTCATTCAAAATACTCAAATTTTAGGAATACATTTTCACAACATTGCCCACGTGACAACGACGTGTTCATTTCAGTATATTTTTCTTCATACTGTCGGATCTATATCCATATATTTGCTTACATATACATATAATAGGATTGATAAATATTTCTACTACAGAAATGCATTCAAAGATGGAAAAATATTACAGGTTAAGAATTAAAGCAAGCATTACTTGCAAATAGAATACAGCTATTATGCGCATCATAAAAAAATAATAAGCCAAATAACAAAAAATAATTTGTTTGAATCCACATTTGTCAGGAGATGCTGTTACAAGTTTATGAAAGAGTTACTTCCCTTGACTCAAGAAACGTGCACAGTTGATCTTTATATTTTTCTAACATTATTATGTTCACTGTACAAGACCCAAGAGTCCTTCATGGTAGAGAGTTATAGAGTAAGAGGCACATTTTATGAAGATATGCCTAACCCTAGACTTGAACAGGCTAAAATTGTAGTGATTGAGGAAGCATCCACTTGGGAGTCAGTTCTACAAAGTAGCATTTCAAGGGAAGAAGCTTTCAAATGGAATTTACATCTCACTAATGGGATACAAAGAGAATGAGGGTGGTTTACTACTATGTGTGTGACATGGCGTAAAGGTTAGAACTGGTGAAATTAGGGAATGTAGTTCATCTTAACACTTCTCTCGGAATAACGATTGAGTAGAAAAAGGCTTGCAACTTTTTTTAATTTTTAATGTATATACTCATGTATAACCATACTTCATATAGAATTTTTTTTACATGAATTTTAACCCCTCTAGAAAAAAATCTCATTGATTAATTTGTTTTATCATGTAGAAACACCGGTCCTTGTACAATCACCGAAGTTAAGCAATGTTGAGCCTGGTCAGTACCTAGATAGGTAACTGCTTGAGAGTACCAGGTGGTGTAAGATTGAATGTGCAGGTGTTGCAATGGATAACAGCTCAGAATGTGAAATTGGAAAGCCGAGTTTGAATTCCATTTGAAATTTGTTATTCACTTACGCACAAATATACTTGACTAAAGGCATGAACCCATCTCTTCTCCCCAGCAGCTATGGGCAAATAGCAGGACAGATTGGGCCCCAATAGCTTTGATTGGCAACCAGCCTAGAGAGGGTTAGCAAAGGACAGATGAGCTGCAGGGAACAATTCCCCTGTGTCAGTTGTTCAGTAAAAATTTAGAATTTAGTGAAGCCTCATTCATTGTCCGTGACAGGAAAACATTCTAACCACTTAGTTTTGCACATACAAGTGTGTGTGTGTGTGTGTGTGTGTGTGTGTGTGTGTGTGTGTGTGTGTAAGAAATTATCAAAAACATTAGTAATACATAAAAATATTTCTTTTCCTGAACAATATTCTTCTTTTCCCATGATTATAAATTTTTTTTAAGATTAAAAAAAAAAATGGTTAAATTCAAAACCTATTATTTAAAATATAAACCAAAATAAATAATAATTGCAATATATATATATATATAATATACATATTGCACACACACACAGAGTAGATGCCTCATGTGTCACTCATCAGACCAAAGTGCTTTAAAAAAAATTCAACCCACAATTTACCAGAACCCTTAAGAAAAATTCTGGTCGTAAACACTAAAATTATATATAACCAGATTACCAAAAACATCTTGCTATTAGAAAGGCTCTGTATATTAAACATCTCTCTCTCTCTCCTACTATCAATCTCACCTTATTTAACAGGAGAAATGGAGTGTTAAAGGTTTTTTTTTTAAAATAGAAAGATGTTCATGCAAATTCCAGAATGTGGAATAAAATGCTCCTACTCAAAACAACCCCAAAATAAAATATAACTTAATCAGAAAATGAGGAAAAACTAACAATGCCAAAAACAAAATGCCCTTGAAAGTGGCTAAAAGTGCTTGAGACAATGAAAATTATGAAACATTTTTGTACTCCCTTACTCCCACAAAACAGAAAATCATAAAACTGGAAAAACTGAATAAAAAAAAAATTAATTAAATCATCGTTTGCTATATTAAATGAAAGATGTTTAAAAGAAAGGTTTCTGCCCAAATATATATACATATATATAAAATTCTGTAACTTCCGTCCATCTCACCCTCTAAAATAGCTATACATTGACCAATCAAAACCAAATTTTTGAGAAAATACAAACAGGTAAAGGAGAACAAAATGCAGTTGGTTTTACTTGGTTTCATAGCTTAGTACAATAAATTTTCATTAATTTTTTGAGAAAAATTTAAAGTTTTATTAACAAACAAAATACTCTATTTTAAAAGCAAATTAATGATTAAAATAAATACTTATCTATCTACATATTTTCTTAAAAAATATTGTTTACCATGAATTCCTATAAAATTAAAGAAATTATTAAACCATGAAGTAGCAATTTTGTCAAAGTATTTTTTTCAAACAAATGAGCTTATTCAAATTTCATCAATTGGTTTGCAAAATTGAACAAAACATAGTTTGTAAATCTCAACAAAAAATGTTAGCAATAACTTCCAGAATACTAAATACTGTGAAGATTTCAGCATGAATTAACATGTTGCAAAAAAATTCTAGTAAAAAGAAATTTCAAGAACAATGATAATTATTCACTTTCATTTATTAGACATTAAATTACATCACTTAGCATCTTCCATAGCTTATTTTGACTTTCAGTTAGCCTGAAGTATATTTATGAGAATTAAAGAAACATTTTTACTTCTGTTTATAAATACTTGTTGCAAAATAAAATCCCTACACACGCTTTGACAAGGTCCATCAGAGGATTAAACACATCAGCTAGAAAAAGTTTTCCATTTGTCTTTATTCATAATCTTTTTACAGATATATATTTTTAGTTATATCTGAATTTTTACGCATACATATATACACAGAATTCAAAATTTGAACACAAAGTTATTTTATTCAGTGTTACTTCTGCATATAAATACTGGTCACTAAATAAACTTTCCACACTTGCCTTGATAAAGTTCTTCAAGGAATGAAACCCATTGGCATAAAAGATGTTCCTCTAATCATTTTTCTTAAGTCTTACACACACACACACACTATATATATATAAGAAAAAAAAAAGACATCTAAATCTTTGTTCACAATTAATTTGAATTCCAGCCTTAGTTGCCCTGTTTAAGATGAAAATAAAAAAAGTCACCGAAAAGGAAGTTGTTCATGAGGTTAAGCTTGACGCAGACCAATATCAAATAACTTTGGCAGTTAAAGTACATTAGTATAGGAATCAGTTACTATAGGAATAATATTCATATTAGGAAATTGTTAATATTGACATTAATAACCCTGAACTAAATAAGATGATTAGTAATGAAAAGGAAAAACAGTAGAAACTTTATTAAAAGGGATCTTCTAAAAATAATGCCCCTTCTTGCTTATTTTGACAGAAACTAACATATACAAAGTACAATAACACCATTGAATAGAGCATGTTTTCATCTATGAAACACTTTTTCCATATTTACTTTCTCCTATTAGTTATGCATTTTCACCAGCAAGGAACAAGTGCTTGCAAAGGTGGCTCATCATGCATATCACTGTCACAACTGAAATGCATTACACATCATTAGACTGTGCTCATATCCACTGTTTGGTCTCTGTAAATGTTAAGCAAATATTTATAAATGTCAACAAGTACAGTATTTTTCCACATGTTGGAAGCCAATGGCATACCTTGGTTTCTGATACACTTTCATATCTGATGGCATTTTACAGATTTAGAGATTCAGGACCCAGACTTGGCTAAGACCTCAATCGCCACCCCCACCTCTCCCCAACAAACATCCAAACAATATGACATTGTTAACGTAAACATTTTTCAAGAAAAAAAATTGCTCTTAACTTTCATTTTGTATAATTTTTTCAATGAGTCTGTTCTTTTGAAAAAAATAAAATACTCTGAAGTAAAATACGTGGTATGGCTCTCATGGCTTCTGATCTTGGTTTGTTTTGTTTTACAGCAAATCAATCTTTTCTAGGTTATTTAATGCTGAATATTGTTGCTTTGACAGACCATAGGTAGACATTTGTCCAAACTGCATTTGTGTTAAACAAAAGAGGTGTTTTTTTAAACGGAAACAGGTAGCTACTTCTTTTTGGTGGGAAAGGGGTTACTCTTCTACATGGGGAATGCAGTCAGTGCCTTCTTAACTGCAACCTACAGAACCTGCTTCTGATCTTAATTAACTGCAGATGTTAACAGGTATAGGTTTTGCCTTTTGGTCAATTAAGCGGAGTTACAGTAAATATCCTGTTATCCTGTTCAGTATCAGTTTTGCTTATCAGTTGGGCGTGTCCCCAATGGACTGAGACATTGTGAACCTCTGTTTATGAGTACGAGTCAGAGATCATTATGGCTGAGTGCCAAGGTTATTTTTTTTTTTTTCAAGTTTGAAGCATAAGGCAGCCTAACAACTTGCCAGTCAAATCTAGATACAGTGGAACCTCAGTTCACAAATTTAATTCATGCCTGAAGCCCATTTGTAATCCAAAATGTTCGTTAACAAAAACTATTTTTCCAAAAGAAATCAATGTAAAATGGATTAATCCATTCCTGGTCTCAGGATGATTGCTTATTTAAACTTTAACAACACTACTTTGTGCACAAGTTTATACACAAAACTAATAAAAATCATTAAATCTAAGAAAAAAATAAACCAAATACTAAATAGATAAAATATAGCTGCACACTTTAATTTTACAGTAGCTGTAAGTAGGAAAGTGGAAGGTGTTGTGGAAGGGGAAGAAAAGAGATGTTATTATTTGGAAAGGAGAACGAAAAACATGATTGTCTCTTTATTTATAAGAATAGTATAGATCGTTGATTTTGCCATATTAAACTGAGTAGGAAGAGACAATATCATCAACCACCGTTTTTCTTTTTCTTTTACCAGTATCACTGCTAGCTTTCTTTGGATCCTTGACTAATAAAGATTAAAAAAAAAGGCACAGTACAAAAATATTGGAAAAGAAAAGCACAACACACAAATGTATGCAACATGGCGGTCGACTCAGAAATGATTCTGTTCAGGTTAAATCAGTTCAGCTCGGTAATGTTGTTCGAGAACAGAAATTTTGTTTGATAACAGGTATTTTCATCTCAAATTTTCTGTTCAAAAAGTGATACATTCAAGAACCAAGGTTGCTTTGTACTTGGGAACAATCCCAATTAGAGACCGGCCAAGTGAACTGGGTTATCCAACCTAAATGTATTTTTAAAACTGGGCCCCATCTGCAAGGACATAAGCTGCTTTTATCAATACCTGTCACATTATCATGCACATGGTATATCCTTATAGGTAATGTGATGGGTATATTGGGCTTTATATATTTGTACCTAAGTGTCAATTTGTTAGTGTGCTGCTTTTTCACTCAATAATAACTAGAAGTAGCTAAGAAATTTTCCTGCCTTTTTGTATTTGAATTGTCTAATGAATCTTAATTCTTAAGTAAATATTTGAATAAACTGTTTTATTGTCATAAAACATCGGTAGAAATTCTATCACATTATTAAATGTCTGAGCTTAACTTTAACAAAATATTGTAATAACAATCATAAATATAGATGCTGGTCATTATTTCAAGAAGTGGGTACAAATGATAAAAATTTGAAATTGATAACTTTTTTCCATTTCACTGAAACAAACATTAAACACTTTTTTCCTTTTTCTCACTGAAACCAAGTAATGCCTCTGATAAATATTTTCAAAACAGAACAGTCCATTATTTATGAGGTATTGGTAAGACATAATTGTCATGCCAAGAGAGGGACAAGCTGAATTATAAGATGATTATAATAATGTCATAATAATAATCTGTACAGAAATTGATATTTGATTTTTAAGTTTGTTGTAATGGAATGTCCCACACTCCCTATCACCTATGTGGACTGACTATATCAG